GGAAAAAATACCAGCAACCAGCATCTGGGAAAGCCACAGGCTACAGGCATCAACTCAGGAAGCTGGGCTAAAGGATTCAACATCAGCAATTAGCAACTGGGTGAGTCATTGGCTACAGGCCTCAACACAAGCTACCAAGAAACAGGTTTAACTGCTGATAGTAACAGTTTTTCAAGATGGGACCAAAGAGGATTAATAATGACGAAGTGGATGAAATTAAAAAATCACTTGACTTTCTGGCTGAAGAACTTACAACAGTCAGGCAACAACAGAAAAGTATTATGGATTTGGTACAAGAAGAAAAAAAAAACTGAAACAACAAAATGTTGAGAAGGACAAACAAATCTATATTTTGCAAAAACGAGTGGATGAACTAGAGCAATATTCAAGAATAAATGATGTTGTCATTACAGGAGTTGATATAAAACCTAGATCATATGCTCGAGCTGTAGCAAATAATAATGGGGAGGAACCAACTGATACAGATATGAATCATGTGGAAAGGCAGGTAACAACTTTCTTTCACTCACAGGGTATTGAAATCAGTGAGAACAACATTGAAGCGTGTCATGTTTTATCAAGTAGGAATACGAAGGGAAAAGTGTCTGTGTTAATGAGATTTGTGAGCAGAAAGATGAAAAATTCACTCCTTAAGCAGGCAAAAAAGTTGAAAGGAACTGAGGTCTATGTAAATGAGCATCTGACAAAGTATAATGCAGAAATTGCAAAGAAAGCCCGTTTTCTGAGGAAGCAGAAAAAGATCCAGGGTACCTGGACTGCAAATTGTAAAATTTTTGTTAAATTGAATGGAACTCCAGAAGAAGCAAAGATACTGGTGATTAAATGTTTAGAAGATTTGGATCAATTTCAGTAAAAGAGATGATGGGATAGAGGAATGGAATGTGTAGATTAAAATATGAGGAAAATGAAATTTCATTTAGGACTTGATCTTTGGATTTTGAAACGTGATTAGTGTGAGGGAGATTAGAAATTTATAATGAAGAGGATGACAAATGAACTACATATTGACACAAATATAGGCTGTAAAGATAGGTTTTGGGATTTTGACAGCAATATTGATCCTGATTACAATTTCTTTAATAATGAAATACATGAATGTAATTATTACAATGAAGAACAATTCAACATGAAGATGAAGTCAGAAAATAGTTTGACAATAGCTCATTTCAATAGCAGAAGCTTATATGCAAATTTTGATGCCATCAAGGAATATATAGCACAATTCAAGAAGCCATTTACTATCATTGCCATATCAGAGACATGGATAACACATAAAAAGGAAGGAAATTTTGAATTGCATGGATATGACTTTATCCACCAAGACAGAATAAGAAAAAAAGGAGGAGGGGTGGCACTTTATATTGACAAAAATCTTAATTACAAAAAAGCAGAAATGATGACGACTACTATTGAGGGAGTGATGGAATGTGTAACAGTAGAAATAAGCATGAAAAAGAAGAACAACATATTAGTAAGCTGTATATATAGAACACCAGGCTCTAAGATTGAAACATTTAAGAATAAAATGGAGGAGATGTTTACAAATTTGTACCAGAAGGGAGTGTTTATTTGTGGAGATTTCAATATAGACTTGCTAAATCCAAATAAAAACAAAAGTACAGAGGAATTTACTGATATAATGTCCAGTCTAGGTTTATTTCCATTGATAACCAGACCGACTAGAATAACATTACACTGCACTACTTTAATAGATAATATATTCACTAATATAACGGAAGAAAAGGTGGAAAGTGGGTTATTAATAAGCGATATGAGTGACCATCTAGCAGTTTTTGCTTCTTATGACTGTCATTATAAAAATGAAACAGAAGAAACTAACTATATGTATAAAAGAATGAAAACTGACCAGAGGTTAAATAGTCTTAAAAATGATTTATTAGAACAAGATTGGAATATTGTTTATGAAGAAAATGAAGTAGACCAAGCATATGATACCTTTTTAAATATATTTAAAAGTCAATTTGACAGAAACTGTCCAGTTATCAAAAATATTCAGAGGAATAAGTATAAAGAAAAACCGTGGATGACAAAAGGACTACAAAATGCATGCAATAAAAAAAACACACTTTACCGAGAATTTATAAAAAAACAGAACGACAGAAGCAGAACAAAAGTACAAAAGATATAAAAACAAACTCATAAATATAATGAGAAGGTGTAAACGTGAATATTTTATTAAAAAGTTAGAGCACAATAGAAACAACATAAAAGGCATCTGGAAAGTATTAAATGGCGTAATTAGGAAAGAGACAGGGAATAATAACTATCCACAACATTTTATAGAGAGAAAAAATAGTATTACAAACATGAATGAAGCAGTGGATGAATTCAACAAATATTTTGTAAGCATAGGATGTAAATTGGAGGAAAAAATAATAGTTGATGAGATACAAACGGATGCCACAGAGTATGTTGAAATAAATAAAAATTCTGTTTTTTTAAGAGCAGTTGATGAGAAGGAGATTTATGAGATAGTTAGAAATATGAAGAATAAAACCAGTACAGACTGGAACGATATTGATATGAAAACACTGAAATGTGTGATTGAGGGCATTGTAAAACCATTAACACACATTTGTAATCTTTCTTTTCAAAAGGGGTTTTTTCCGAATAACATGAAAGTAGCAAGGGTAATTCCTATTTACAAGACAGGAGATAAGCATCAATTTACAAATTATAGACCTGTGTCAATACTATCACAATTTTCCAAAATATTAGAAAAGCTGTTTGTTAAAAGATTCGATAATTTTGTTGATCAATGTGAGTTGCTGACGGAATGCCAGTATGGCTTCAGGAATGATAGGTCGACAGTCCAGGCACTGATTGATCTTAATGAGGAAATAACAGAATGCATTGACAAAAAGAAGCATGCAATAGGGTTGTTTTTAGATCTGAAGAAAGCTTTCGATACAGTAAACCATGATGTATTGATGAGAAAAATGGAAAAATATGGTTTCAGGGGTATAGTATTGGACTGGATAAAAAGTTATTTATCAAATAGACAACAATATGTGCAAATAAATCAACATAAATCAGGACTAAGAGAGATACAATGTGGGGTACCTCAAGGATCAGTCTTAGGACCTAAACTATTCATAATGTACATAAATGACATTTGTAGGGTTTCACAAGTATTGAAGTTTGTATTGTTTGCAGATGACACAAATGTTTTTTGCTCGGGTGTGGAATTGCAACAGGTCCTGGATGTGGTCACACAGGAAATAAATAAATTAAAAAAATGGTTTGATGTAAATAAACTGTCACTAAATTTAGAGAAAACAAAATTTATGTTGTTTGGTAATGAAAGTAGATACAATGAATTAGATATAGTAATTAATAATGTAAAAATTGAGAGAGTATATGAAATAAAATTTCTTGGGGTGGTCATAGACAGCAGGATCTGTTGGAAGCCACACATCAAATATGTTAGGGGGAAGCTTGCACGGGGCATTGCTATATTGGGGAAAGCTAAGTATATTTTTAATCAGAAAGCACTTTATATATTATACAATACGATGCTACTGCCATATTTGAGCTATTGTGTAGAGGTCTGGGGAAACACGTACAAAAGTAATTTACAAACAATAATGACAATGCAGAAAAGGGCTATCAGATTAATAACAAATGCAGGATATTTGGATCACACAAATGGACTTTTTATTAAAACGCGGACAATGAAGTTCCAGGACTTGGTTAAATACAAAACAGCACAAATAATGTATAAAGTAAGAAATAAATTAATGCCTGATAAAATACAGAAACTGTTCACAGAGAGAGAAGGAGGATATAACCTGAGAGGGACACTAAACTTAAAGATACATAAGTTTAGAACAACATTAAAACAGATGTGTATCACAATAATAGGGGTTAAATTATGGAACAATTTAGAAGAAGAAATCAAAGTAAGTACAAATATAAATGTGTTTAAAATGAATTATAAAAAACATATTCTGAACAAGTATATAGTGGAAAATACATGATTTATGTGGGTGTTCTTTATTCCAAGGAAAAGTAAATTGTATCAATTGTAAAAAGATGTTTTTTTTTTCTTTTTTTGTTTTTTTTCCATATAATTTGGTGGTTTTTTGGTGACTTGTACCATTTTGTTTGTTTTAATGTAGGTTTTGTGTTAGATTTAAGTAAACAAGTAAAAATGACTTGTATAAAGGGGTAGGGATATATAAGTTTCCACTTCAGCCTACTCCTTTTCAAACACAGATGGGATGATATGTATTTTTTCTGTTTGTGGTACTTTTTAAAAAATTATGTATGTTTTCTTTGTTTGAAATAAACTAAACTAAAGGTTAATGTAAACCTTTGTTTAATTTAGTACGTTTCCTTACTCGTGTTGAACATGCTATATCTTTCAATAAAGTTTAAAAAAATACAGTTAATAGCAATATGAGGATTACATTACCAACAAATGTCCGTATTTGTAATAGTTTAATTCAATAAAAATAGCTTAAAGTTAAAAAAAAAAAAAAAAAAAAAAAACCTTGGGGGCTTCCAGGACTCTAGAAGGCGCTATATCAAATACAGTAATATACTGGCTGAGATGTAAATGAGAAACGCTGCAATGTTTAATTTTGCTCTCAGACTTCTGGCCCATAACACAATGACACCATGTTGTGAGAAAGATTTCTTGTTGTTAAACTAAACAGAAGACCTATAAATGAACTAATTATTAGATTAGGTGTGAGATGAGTTCAGACAGACTTCTTCCTGCTTCTTTTGAAAATGTTAAAAGGAAAACATTTTTATGGTAAGTGTTATTATTCAGGATCATTTTTGTCGTGTATTTATTTGTCTGAGCCAGTATAGGGCGCTTTTCATTGTTTCTTTTATTTCCACGTGTTCAAACAAGGTCCAAGACTTTTATTTATTTTCCCACTGAATTCTAAAACTTGTTGCCAGACTTTCATCTGTTCTGTATCAGAAACGATAAACTGACACACAGTTCAGTTGGATTAATTTGATTTCACTACATTTTCAGACCCTTCTCAACTAAAACAGCATTTTGAAAACCAAAGTGTGAATTCAATAAACCGCCGCTAGGTGGCAGTGCAGATATGAAAACCACCCAGAGTGGTTTTCTGGTCAATTTGTCTCATTTCAGATTAGCACAGAAAACTATCAGTCAAATCAACCCAGAAAACTGTGTTCATATAAGATTTTCAGTTTAAGATTATAAAATAGCAGAATTGTCAACGTTTAAAGGAACAAAAGACGCATGGAGCCTTGAGTCTTCGGGAAGCATTTGGACCAATGAGAAGTGCTTTGCACCCTGCAGACTTTCTCGCCAACTGAGAGGTGGTCGTTGTATGACAGAGCTGAACCAGAACCAGTGCTCCTGACTCTGTAGATCTGAGACAACAGGCGCTCCCACAGCTGCAGGGATCACAAGTCCAGCTGACAGATCTGTGAAGGGCTTCAACAGGAAAGAGGCGCACAAACGGACTCCTTTATCCGCCGTCTTTACGCACTGGATCAGCTGTTCGGATGCCTCTGCTTTCATTTGGAGACTCACGCTGAGGTTTGAAGATTCCAGAAAAGAGAAGATCTGAAATGGGGACCGAAGTCATGTGGCTGTCGCTTGTCCTGTCGGCGGTGCTCACCGCAGGACAGGAGACAAGCCAGGACATCCCGGAGGGCGCGTCCACCCTGGCGTTTGTCTTTGATGTGACCGGATCCATGTACGACGACTTGGTCCAGGTCATCGAGGGAGCGTCCAAGATCTTAGAAACCTCACTGAGCAGACCTAAGAGACCCCTGTATAACTTCGCTCTGGTGCCCTTCCATGACCCAGGTAAAGCAGCTTACAGATTAAGTCTGATTCTGGGGACTTGCTGGATGGAATCACGTTTTTTCCAGTGTGTGATTTTGAATCAAAAGCTGCCCTAAATGTTCCTCATATCTCATTAGAATAGACTGTTGAAGGATTTTTCCACACAGATGTTTAACCAGATGATCACTCACTATTATTCCATCAGGGGTGACTGAGGTCTGCAGCAGCTTGCTGATCATCATCACCTCTATGGAGCTCTAGAGACCATCCAGACCAGGTCTGATCAGTCTTGGTGACAGTGTGTCTCTGTGAGAACATTTTTTTTTATTCCAACACATCAGTTTATAATACTTTGAGCACTCTAGCTGTAGCTGTCAAGATATTTAAATGACCTAAATGGTTGCCATGGTTATGAAACTAATGAAAGGAGCGTTTTACGACCACGGGCTTTCCATTTCCTGCCTTCATATTAAAAACCCAAGTCTAAAAACATGTTGTGAAGACATAAAAGAGCAAAAGAAAACAAAGTAATGGACAGATGATCTGTGTGTCGAGGAGACAAATCCATCCTCCAGATGTTTTTTTTCTGCCAATTTTGAATAGGTCACACCTGTCTATATAGCAGATTTTTTTAAACCACTGATGCAGCCTGGAAGGCTAAAACAGAAGTAAAAATGTTCAGTGGGAAAAACAAGGAAGTGTGTTTTTCTTGTATCAAATGTAAATTTTAGATTCCAGAAAGAAGAATGAAAGAGACCTGCAGCTAATTCCAGGACTTGATTCTTTCTTTATAAAAACCTGCCACTGTTTGAGTTTGAGCCTGAGAGTCAACATCTTTTTAAAGTCTCGCCACTTTGTGTTAGTCCTTCACCAGAGAGTGATATTTATTTGGTTTTCAAGATGTTTACGAGGATCTCCCCTCAGGCGGAACAGAGTAATGATTAGAGCTGGACACTGCTAGCTAGGGGTAGCTGAGCATTTTCCCAAATGTTGTTTTGACCCTGCTGCCCTCTCTAACTCACATCTTCTTCCAACAACATACCAAATTCCCACTTTTGTTTGGATTGGGACTTTTCCATTAAGAGTTTGTCTCGTTGTGAAACGGATCCGTTTTCATCCAACGCAGAGTGATAACACCTCCTGTTTGATTTGGCTCCTTTTAAATCAGAACTTCCTATTTTATTTAAACTGCTGTCTGATCGCAGGGTGTGTTCCAACTACAGGAGGATCACACTCCTGACCCTTCCTGGTAAGCTCTATTCAGGGGTTCTGGAGAGGAGGGTCCATGCTTTCGTTCTTTTTTAAACACAGAAACAGTTTTGTTTACCTGTTTGTAGCTACGGTTTCGCCGACAGCTGCCGGCTTCTTCAGGCTGACGCTGATGGTGGCGCGTCACTTCCTTCTCCGTTTATCTGCGGGCAGCAGAGGACGTTGTCACCCTCTACTGCCCGCTCTCCCCTCTCCGACGATGCAGTCCCATGCGTGGTCCAGCGTGTAAACTCCGTCGTCCCTGTTCATGGTCCCACATCCACGTCTCCTTATCTCTATTGCTTCCTTGTTCCATCTTTTGTATTTTTGTTGTTCAGTGGTTATGATCCGTGTGCTGTCCCAGTCCATTATATGGTTTTCTCTTAAGCAAGGGGAGAGCGGGCAGTAGAGGGCGACAACGTCCTCTGCTGCCCGCAGATAAACGGAGAAGGAAGTGACGCGCCACCATCAGCGTCAGCCTGAAGAAGCCGGCAGCTGTCGGCGAAACCGTAGCTACAAACAGGTAAACAAAACTGTTTCTGTGTTTAAAAAAGAACGAAAGCATGGATTTACAAAGACACAGCAAGAACACACCTAAGATGTTCAAAGAGAAATACGGACAACAAGGAACGAAGGACTTCCGCCGTTTGGAACGATTACACCAGAAACGCGCACGTCTAAGAAACCACCTTCGCTTCTGTTTAAGATGCCGGGACGAAAACATCACACCCACAAGCCTACAGCTGAAAACATCGATCCGGACCCAGACAGCACAAAATATAATAGAAAGAGCACAGAGAGCACTGCTCAAGGAGAGGATAAGGAACGTCATAACCAAACAGAGGCGTGTGGAGGACGAACTGGAAAGAGGACACCTGGACTTGAAAAGGAATTACAAACTTGATAAACAAATGGAGGAACTAATTAAAGGACACATGATGGAAAAACAGGAAAAAGAGTTCATAAAAGTAAAAGAAAGACACATAAAGAAGTTAAACAGACTCATAAACAAGAAAAAGAGGGGAGAAATACAAGGCAACTCCACACCAAACTCATGGGTATGTAACATTTCACAATACAAACTAACAGAAGCAGAAGAGAGCATATTAAAGAAAGGTTTAAACTTTGCAGTCACACCAAAAGAAATACCATATGATGAATTTATTGTAGCAATAGCAACAGAACTAGCATGTCAACAGATCACAGATGAGGGAAAGAAAGCAGAACTCAGAAATAACGTAATTGGGATATTAAAAAACAGCCAAATTCAACACAGCAATATTACAAAAGAAGAACAATCAGCCATGACAGCTTTATCCAAAAATGAACAGATAATTATTCTACCGGCAGATAAAGGAAGAACCACAGTAGTTATGGACAGAGAAAATATAAACAACAGATGAAACAGATGCTAGAAGACAAAAATACATATGAAATACTTAAAAAAGATCCAACAGAAAACATTAAGAAAAACATGAAAAAATTACTGAAGCCACTGCACGAAAAAGGCAAAATAACAGAAAAAATGTACAAACACTGGATTCCCACAGCAAACATAACACCAAGAATATATGGAACACCAAAAATACATAAACAAAACACCCCACTTAGACCAATAGTTGACAGCATAGGTACACCAACATACAACATGGCAAAAGATATCAGCAGAATCATCAGCCCGTTATTAGGAAATACAGACCAACACTGCAAAAATAGCATAGAATTGGCAAAAGAACTAAAGGAAATTACAATAGAAGACAACGACATACTCATCTCACATGACGTCACATCTCTGTTCACAAAAACACCAACCCAAAAAACCATAGACATAGTAGTTAACAGAATCAGACAAGACAAAACTTTACATAAAAGGACAAACCTCACAGCAGATGACATAGCACAACTGATAGGACTGGTAGCTAACTCCACTTACTTCACATACGACAACACAATATGCAAACAACTGGAAGGCTTCGCCATGGGTAACCCGTTATCAGCCACCCTGTGCGAGTTTTTCATGGAAGACCTGGAACAAAAAGCCATAGCCACCGCCCCCCCAAACTGCAAAATAAAACTATGGAAACGCTACGTAGACGACATACTGGAAATCATACCAAAAGGTCAAACAGAAACACTAACACAACACTTAAACAACATTGACGACACGGGCAACATAAAATTCACTTATGAGTTAGAAACAGAAGGCAACATAGCATTTATGGACATGAAAATCACCAGGCAGACCGACGGGACCCTAAACATAAACACATACAGGAAACCAACACACACAGACCAATATTTATTATGGACATCAGAACACCCCACCATACACAAAATGTCAGTAATCAGAACATTATATCACCGAGCAAACATAATAACAGAAGAGAGAGACCGTAAACAAGAGGACAAACACATACAACACGCTTTAAAGACCTGCAGATACCCGACATGGGCAATAAACAAAGGAAAACAACAAACAAAAACAGAAAGCAAAGAACAACCCAAAAAAAGAACCAGAAACCCAGAAAGACAAGAACCAAAACCAGTGATAACCCTACCATACATCAGAGGCATAACGGAAAAAATAAGAGCAACAATGAAAAAACACAACATAAACACACCAAAAAAGCCATACACAACAGTTAGAAACAGATTAGTACACCCAAAAGACAAAATATCAGCTGGACAAAAATGTGGAGTCATCTACGAAATCCCATGCAAAATATGCAATAAAACATACGTAGGAGAAACCGGACGCCAACTCAATACACGGACAATAGAACACAGAAAGGAGTGCGAGAAAGAGGCAAATCGTAAACACACAAGAGCAGCAAAAGAAGAAGCAGAAAGTACAATAAAAAAGTCAGCCGTAACAGATCATTGCTTAAGAGAAAACCATATAATGGACTGGGACAGCACACGGATCATAACCACTGAACAACAAAAATACAAAAGATGGATCAAGGAAGCAATAGAGATAAGGAGACGTGGATGTGGGACCATGAACAGGGACGACGGAGTTTACACGCTGGACCACGCATGGGACTGCATCGTCGGAGAGGGGAGAGCGGGCAGTAGAGGGCGACAACGTCCTCTGCTGCCCGCAGATAAACGTAGAAGGAAGTGACGCGCCACCATCAGCGTCAGCCTGAAGAAGCCGGCAGCTGTCGGCGAAACCGTAGCTACAAACAGGTAAACAAAACTGTTTCTGTGTTTAAAAAAGAACGAAAGCATGGATTTACAAAGACACAGCAAGAACACACCTAAGATGTTCAAAGAGGAGGGTCCGTCGGATTGTTGAACCTCAGATTCAGGAGGAGCAATGTGGTTTTCGTCCTGGCTGTGGAACACTGGACCAGCTCTATACCCTTAGGGGGATCCTGGAGGGTGTGTGGGAATTTGCCCAACCAGTCTACATGTGTTTTGTGGATTTGGAGAAGGCGTTTGACCGCATCCTTCGGGGGCCCTGTGGTGGGTACTCCAGGAGTATGGGGTACCAGGCCCTCTGAGACGGGCTGTTAGGTCCCTGTATGTCTCCTCTAAATCTGAGACCATGGTCTTGATTCGGAAAAGGGTAGAATGCCTTCTCTGGGTCAGGGATGAGGTCCTGCCCCAAGTGGAGGAGTTTAAGTATCTCGGGGTCTTGTTCACGAGTGAGGGAAAACTGGAGCGTGAGATCGATAGGCGGATTGGCGCTGCATCTGCAGTGATGCGGGCATTGTACCGGTCTGTCGTGGTGAAGAGAGAGCTGAGTCAGAAGGCGAAGTTCTCGA